AGGCAGGGTCACCGGACCCGAAACGTTAACTCTGTTTTCTCCTCCACAGGTGCTGCCAAACCTGCTGAGCTTTTCCAGCAACTTTGTTTCTGTTGTTAATTTTATTATTCTACTTACATGGTTTATTAGTCCACATGTAATAATGGATAAAAGGTACCTTAGACAATCAGTTTAAGAATTATAGCATATTTGCCCTCAGATGGTCTTGGGAATTTGATCAGTAATATTCCACAAGGAGAATGTGAAGCTAATATTGTTCTTATTTCTGGCAGAAACAACTCTCCAAAACTGGAAGAAAGCTCATGGGCAACAGTAATTGAGTAATATGATACTGGGAACAGCTGGACTGAAAAGAGGAATGTAGTTTACAAGGTAAATATAGCACTTACAGAAATAATGAGATTAACTGCAAAACAATGTATTATTATGGGTGCAGATGGATTGCAGGAGAACAAAGCAAACGATGAATGATGACAGAGCTTTGGAGTAACTGAAAGCTGATGTAATGTTGCAGTTTCCACTTATCTGAAAACTTCATTTTTCCATAACTTTTAATACTAAAATAAACAAACTGAAGTAAATTCATTGGTTGGAATTTTCATTTGCTCTGTGCTCCCCCTGGTGCATCATCATGCAAATACAACCAATTCTTTTCGCTAATAACAGCTATGTTTACAGAACTGCAGATGCTGGAGTCAGAGATAACAGTGTGGAGCTGGAGGAACACGGCAGTCCAGACAGCATCCAGCCCTCCCACACCACTGACCAAACCCCACCAACTCCCTACCTGTACTTACCTATCACCATCCCACCTACCTTCCCCAGCCCCACCCCTCCTCTGTCTATTTATTTCTGAGCTCCCTTCCCCCGCTCCATTTCTGAAGCAGGGTCCTGACCCGAAACATCAACTTTCCTGCTCCTCTGATGCTGACTGGCCTGCTGTGTTCCTCCAGCTCCACTGTTTTAACCTTACAGAATGTTTACTTTTGTTTGAAAAAAACGTTTCTTAAAACATAAATCTTCTATTCTAAATAATCGCTTAAAACTTGTACATAACTGCAGCACAGAAAAGAAACATAGACTTGTACCTCTTGTACTAACACATCCATGCCTCTGTAACCAATGGACTGCTGTCATTTCACCTGTATAGTTTGAGCGATTGTAGCTTTTGAATATATGCTGCTCAAGGATAAGGGATGAGAATAACTGTAGGCACCCTTGTAGCTAAATCAATTTGGAGACTATTCTTAAATCTACTCTTTTTAATTACCATTTTAATTTTTAAAACATTGTAATACAAACCCAGGACGATGAAGTGACAAACATCAGTGCACACTTACCAGATGTTTCTGTACAATCTGTAATCTCGAAAGAGCCCTCAGCCTAAAGTAAAGAACAAAATAACAGCAATTAATGATGGAGTCAGACTTTCAGATTATTTACCAGTTGACAACTGAAGAGTTCAAGACTCAGATGGATAGATTTTTGTTAGCAAATATATCCAGAGCTGGGAGAGAGGGCAGTGGTGGCAGTATACAGACTGAGATGGAAATCAGTTGCGGTTTAATTCAATGATGGAATGAGCCTAAGAAGCTTAATAGCCTACTCCTGCTTCTCTCCTGTTCTAAATGTTCTTATGAGCTTATAGGTGGTCATGGACTATAACAAATGTCTGTGTGCCTCCCTATTTCTTACTCTTCTGGTACCTTGTGGTATTTGGCACCTTTACCAGTATGTGCCACTGGGTAAGGGTTGTATGGGACAGTTTACCGCCATCAATCAATCCTCCTTCGTGGTGGAGTTGGCATGTGCCAATTATTAATTAGTGGAAGAGAATACACCTTCATAGAGCATCTACAAAAGTGGCATTTTTTTAAAATAGAAAAGGTTTACTGCACAATAGCAATAAGTAATTTGATCAGGCAAAATGATTAGAGCTTTTGGAAGCCAGAACATAATACATCCACTCCCTCTGAAAACTCACATACGACTCCTTTTCCCGTGGCTAATCCACCTACCCTGCACACTATAGGGCAATTTAGCATGACCAATCCACGTAACCTTCACATCTTCGGACTGTGGAATGAAACCAGAGCACCCAACGGAAACCCACAAAAGACACAGAGAACATGCAAACTCCACACAGTCACCCAAGGCTGGAATTGAACTCGCTTCCCTGGCACTGTGAAACAGCAGCACTAAGCACTGTGACACTTTGCCACTCTTCAAGTATCTGATTTCATGAATACTGGTAGTCTGAACACTTCACATTTTTCACAGAACACACTCTCTTCAGACTTGTAAGAACGGAAGGTCATCTGCATCAGGACTGTTGACCTGGATTCTATCTATGGATCATTTCTCCACTCGAAGATCTTTTATCTCACTGAAATCATTTGCAGAGGACATTGTTTGTTACAGACATTGTTGTTGGTCCACTATGTTGTTTAAAGGACCTTTATTTAATCTCCTGAATTTCCTTCAGAGAAATTCAACTCTGTTAACTTGGGTATTTGTCTCTTAACATTATCTGAAATACCTTTAATCTTGTGAATGCACATCATGAAAATCAGAAGCTCTTTTGAAACAAATATTTTCTTCCTTTTAGTATCCTGCATTTTCAGAACAGTTACTTTCCACTTAGTTAGAAAAAGTACTTTTTGCTCACTATCCTGGATGCATAACTTGATAATTTCTACTTCTTGACAGCGTCCTGCATCCGCGGACGTTGGTCTGGCTCCCCTGGAGTTATATGCAGTTTATCTCCCTCAAGTTGTTACTTTGGCTGGGCATTTCCAGTCACCCTTTATGTTGGTTGACTGGTGAAGTAGACTTTTTCAGATTCAGTTGTGTTAGTGGAAGACTGCTGTTCACTGAACACTGTCACTGGCATTCACTGTTCTGTCGCATCAGTTTGTTCATCCAACAACTTTAACTAGCGCTTCCTAAATGAACTCGAGGTTTGAACTGCTCATATTTCTTGAGTATTTGCTTCTTTGCACAAACATTGTAAAGTTTTAGTTCCTGATTTGCCTTCAGGTAATTATCCAAATTTGGTGATTCGGTACAATTGCAAATTTAACAATGAGGCAGGAGATCTGAGCCTTGACTGTGCACCTGGCAATGCCTATGAGTTTCCTGTGTATCCATTCCATTACATCTTACAGAAGGGAACCTGGAATAACTGGTTTTCTGCCGTACAGTAATAAATTGTCTGATTTCAAATTGTTTTTGTTGCTTAAAGTATGTGTTCTCAGCCAAATCACTGGACGTTTGGTCTGGTTATTCTTCAATTCTATACTTTTGTTCTTGTTCGGCCGAGTCTTTCTTGGGTTTACTGGCCACCATCAGTTCTTGGTCTTCTGAAATATCCCTTTTACAACATCATATGTAGCTTCAACAGATTCTTCTGTTTGGGTTTTGCCATGAATCTCGAAAACCCAATGAAATCGTCCCCTGATTGCTCTCTGAACAGTGGCTGACTATAGTTTATTGTTAGACTAGTGGCTCAGCAACTGTGGAGCATCAGACTTCTTATGGAAGGGGAGGTCCAAACATGTATGCTGACTCAAAATTGAGGAGTGTTAATTGCAAACTACGTATGTATTTTCAATGATCATATGCTCCTTGTGTTGCAGAGTAACTTCTACGATTCCTTAGTTCCTAGATTGTGTGGCATCAGTAGAATGGGTACAGCACGAACATTCACCCTTTCAGAACCAATACCTTAAAACAACATCGGAGACAATGTAGGGGACACTTATATATTGACCTCAGGCTCGCATTTATATCCAATCTTTAAAAAAAGCAGATGTTCCCTGATGTTAACAAAAAAAACTAGCATTTATACAGGACCTAGCATTATTATAGAAAGTCCCAAAGCACACTACAGCCAATTAAATACTGAAGCATAGTCACTGTTTCAGTTGACCAAACATGGCAACCACTCTGCACTGCAAGACCCCACAAACAGCAATGTGATAATGATCAGATAATCTGTTTGGCTGAGAGATAAATACCAACAATTTCATGGGACAGAATTCCCCTGATGTTCTTCAAATACTACCAATGGATTTTTGTGTCCACCTGAGGAGGCACGAGGCCTTTTACTTAACATCTTGTGTGAAAGATGACAAATCCCATAGTTGCAGCATTCCTTCACGACAATACATTGTCAATCTAGATTTTGTACTCGGGTTTCAACAGTATGACGTGAACCTCCAGACTCTGATTCCAGTGAGAGTGACATCATTGAGCCACAAGTGACACTATATGAACAAGGAAAGAGTAGGCCTTTTGGCTTCTCAAGCTTGCTCCACCATTCAATAAGATCATAGCTAATCTGAATGCAACCTCAAACCCACATTCTTACCTACCTCTGATAACCTTTCACCTTCTTGCTAGAATCTATCTACCTCTCTTAAAAATATTCAAGGACTCTGCTCCCACAAGCTTGTCAGGAAGACAGTTGAAAAGTGCCTCCCTTTGAGGAAAGAAAAATCTTTGCCTCATCTCAGTATTAAACGGCAACCCCTAATGTTTTGACCCCTAGTTCTTGATTCACCCACCAGAAGAGACATTTTCTCCACATTTATCCTAACAAAACCCCAAAACCTTAAAATAAAACAGAAAACTGCAAGTGCTGGAAATCTGAAACAAAAACAAAAATTGCTGGAGAAACTCAGCGAGTCAGGCAGCATCTGCAGAAAGCAGAGTTAACATTTTGAGTCCAGTGATCTTTCTTCAGAACTGATATTGGCTAGGAAAAGGTGGAGTGTATGCTGAAGACAAGGGATAGGAAGGGAGTGAGCAAGTAGGGGAAGATGGAGCCCACAGAAAGAGAGAACAACAGTTAAGGAGACAAAGAGATGGATGATAGTATGCTCAGTAGAAAGAAAAGCTGACGCTGGGGACGATAAGGTGGTGAAAATGGATTAGCAGGGCTAAAAGCAGTCCATGTCATGATGGGGTCTGAATGTGAGGGTGGGTAATGGACATTGAAGGTGGAGCTCGGGTTCTAAAATTATTGACTTGACATTAAGTCCTGAAGGCTGCAGGGTCCCCTAGTGGAAAATGAGATTCTGTTCCTCCAGCTTGCACTGAGCCCAGCTGGAGGACTAGAGGCACTGGAGTCTTGCTGGAGACCAAACTATGAGCTCATCTACACCGGGGAGACAAAATACAGCTTTGCGGAATGTCTACACTCTGTCCACAAAAATGACTCCAAGCTTCCAGCTGCCTGCCACTTGAACGTACCACCATGTTTCTTGGCTAATGTTTCTGTCTTGGGTCTGCTGCAGTGCTCCTTTCCCCACCCCACACCCACACCCTGAGTTCAGCATAAATACCACCTTTTTCTAACTATTATCACTTTTGAATAAGAGTCATTGGACTAAAAATGCTTTTTCCCCCATTCCCTTTGATCCCTTTAGCTCTAGGAGCTATGTCTAACTCCACGAAAACATTAAATGTTTTGGCCTAAACCGCCTTCTAGGGTAGAGAACTCCATGGGTTCACAAGTCTCTCAGTGAAGACATTTCTCCTCATTTCAGCCTGAAATGGCCTACCCTGTATCTTTAGGTTCTAATTTTTTATTATTAATGCATTTTCCTAACCAACCTGCTCAGAGATGTTATTACACACCTCTGGAGCAGGGGGGACTTGAACTAGGGTCCCCCAGTCTAGGGGTAGGGAAATCATTAGGGTGTAACCCCTGATTATAGACTCCCAGTCATTGGGAACATCCTTCCTGCATTTACCTTGTCTAGTCCTGTACTCAAATCCTCTTGCTTTGAAGGCCAATATATCATGTGCCTTCTTCACCACTTGCTGCACCTGCATGCTCACTGTCTCTTGTTGCACATCCACCCTGCCCAATCCACTGCCAATCAAATAATAATTTGCCTTCCTGTTTTTGCTACCGAAGTGGATAACCTCACATTTTTCCACATCTGCCATGCCTTTGCCGACTCACTCAATTTGTCCAACTCACACCGAAGCATCTCTGAAAAACTTATCACAGCTTACTTGCCCACCCAGCATTGTGTCATTTGCAAATGGCAATATTCTATTTCAGTTCTTGATCTATATACGTGGTGAGTAGCTGGGGTCCAAATACCAAATCCTGCAGTACCCTGCTCAGTACTGCCTGCAACTCAGAAAAATATTGTTTCATTCCTACTCTTTGTTTCCTGTCTGCCTAGTAGTTCTTTATCCATGCCTGTATAGCACCCCAATCTTTAATTTTACATGCTAGTCTCGTTTGCTCGACCATATCAAAAGCTTTCTGGAAGCCCAGGTAAATCAAATCCACCAGTTCACCCTCATCAATTCTACGAGTTACATCCTCAAAAATTTCCAGTAGATTTGTCAAGCATGATTTCCCTTTCAAAAATCCATGCTGACTCTGTCTGATCCTGCTACTGTTCTCCATGCTTTCAAATGTTTTATAATGGACGTAAGCATTTTCCCCACTACTGACATCACAGTAACTGGTCTATAATTTCCCATTTTCTCTACCTCTTTTTTCCAAATAGTGGGCTTACATTTGCTAGCCTCCAATCCAAAGTACTGTTCCAGAGTCTATATCAACTTAAAAGATGACCATCAATGCATCCACAATTTCTATGGCCACTTCCTTAAGAACTCTGGGAAGTAGATTATTGGGCACTGAGGACTTGTCGGCCTCTAACCCCATCAACTTTTCCAACATCAGTTCCCTACTAACAGTGATTTCCTTCAGTTTCTCCCTCTCACTAGACCGAGTTCCCAATATTTCTGGGACATTGTGTCCTCTTTTGTGAAGACAGAACCAAAGTATGAATTTAATTGGTTTGTCATCTATTTGCTCCCCATTATAAGTTCTTCTTTTTCTGACTATAACAGACCTACATTTGTCTTAGCCAATCTTTTTCACTTCAGATACCTGTAGAAACTTTTACAATCAGTTTCTATGTTCCCGTAAGCTTACTCTTGTACTATATTTCCGCGCCACCACCCCTCCCACCCCCAATCAATCCTTTCGCCCTCATTTACTAAAATCCAAACTGCTCTCAATCCTCGGGGCCTTTGCTATTTTTGGCCAATTTGTATGCTCCTTCCTTGAATCCCTACTCTCCATAATTTCCCTTGTTAGTCATGATCGGGCTACCTTTTCCATGTTGTTTATGCGCCATATATGTTAGATCCATAGTATAATCGCATCTAAGCTAAACTTCCTTCCCTCAAAGATATTTGGGACCAGATGCGCACTCTCAAATTTCAAATATAGTAATGGTGCCCATTAAACTGAGATTAGCTTTACATTTCAGATGTATTCATCGAATTTTAATTCAACCAGCCAGTATGAATCCCGAACCCAGGTGCCCGGAGGATTAGCTGGGCCACTGGATTTTATGTATGTATTTTAACATACACTATTATTTTAATCATGCATCTGTACATGCTTCACATCTGCAACAGTTAACAAACTGTTACCCCATTTCTTCCAACATGTTTGTCAATTTTTTCTTGTTACAAATTTCTACACATTTTGGCTAAACTAACTTTGTCCAGAGAGTTTGGCAATATATCTTACACTTATTGAAAGTAAAGGCACTGATATTATCTTGAGAGCTCACCATAAGGCCTAGCAAACTTCATACTAGCCATCTTTTATAGTGGGCAAATAACAACAGTTTAAACAGTGGAGCATTAAATGCAAAATAGGGTAGGGCTGTTTAAAATTATCCAAAAATAGTCCATGAAGTTGTTCACAACCCTGGGTAGAAAGTTGTCAAGTGGCCAAATTATGTAACTACAATAGGCTGAGAGGTGCAACGTCACAAGAACACCATCACCTTCAGGTTCTCCTTGAAGTCACCCACCATCATGACTTGCATAAATAACATTCATTCTGGAATGCTAAATCAAATCCTTATTTCTCATACCAGCATCGTATTAGCAATATTATGGAAATAGCAACAGATCAAGAAGCCTCACTACCATCTTTTCAACATGACATGAAATGGGCAACAACTGCAGCATTGCCAATGATGGTTATATGCCCAAAACATACAAAAGACAAAGTTAAATTAGCCAAAATGCACAGAAATTTGAACAGGATAAAGTTCACAAAAAGTTCGACAAAAATGTGCCAACAGCACATTAACTGTTACAGATGCAAGATTAAAATATGGCTCACTATCATCCAACACAGTGAACCTTGAAACTATCACGTGCCTTCTCTTTAGAATTACCTAAGACTCTTCATCTTCCTCCCAAATTAAATATTCTGAAAACCCATTTTTCCAAGCAAGTTTTCAATCACTTCCCAATTCTCAGGTAAGAACTCAGCTTCTTTTCTCCCTCTACTGCAAGCTTTGAGTCATTTTCCGTTAGTGGTGCTAAGTGAGCATAAGGCGCTTGCATTGTTAATCACAGTAGCATTTTCACCTCATTAATCAGATAAACATAGTAAAATATTTTTTGTAATATTTTATGTACGACTTGGTGTTCCCTGAAAATACCCAAATACTGTACAAAACCATTAACAGTGACTGTCCAATTAATTTATTGACAATATTATGGGAGCAGTTAGCACTGTTTTATTACAAAAGCAAAATTCTTTGCTGGATACTTTTGGGATACTGGCAATCTGAAACAAATACAGCGAACACTGGAGAAATTGAGCAGGTCCGACAGCTTGTGAAGAGAAAGACAGAGTCAACGTTTCGAGTCTATGATTCTTCTTCAGAACTGCGTATGTTTCAATGTCTTACTACTTGCAGTTTCCTACAAACTGTACATCTGCAATGAGGAATGGGGGTGGGGGAGGGGTGAGATATTCTTATACCAATAGCTAGTGAGTGTGTAGAATAGAGCAAGGACAAGTGCACGGTGATCCGAGAGCAGCAAAGGATGCCAAACTGTGTTGGGATCTGGAGGAAGCCCTGAGAACCGGGAAGAAGTTTCTGGGAGTCACAAGAGTTACTGCGGAAACGTACCGACGTTTAAACAGTCTGTCGACCACTGGAGGAAATGGGTTTTAAATGCAGAAAAGCTTATGCCTATACATTACGAATAAATAACTTTTTTTGACCACGCCAACGCCAAAAAGACACATGCAAAGCAAGAGGATCACATCAACATGATTGCAATGGCTCACATTAGACCCAATGTTACAAATGAGAAGCTCTCACTGCTTTCGAGTTACTTGATGCAACCTGCGGGGCGCACTCGCCAGGGGTTGCAGCGGCCCACCGAGTGTACTACACCCTTGGGGAGGTACGCAGACCTTTCACAAATCCCAAGCACCCACCTCAACTGAGCGGAGAAGACCCAGCTCCTCATACCTTCTCTGATCTGCAGATGATTTCCCCCCCCCAGCAACACGGCCAAGACTTTCCCGTCTGCCCTCACGCACCACTACCTGTCACAGCGCCACTCTCGGCGCGGAGGAATCACATTGGCAACAGAGTTCAAAGCTGAGATAGTAGGAACTGCAGATGCTGGAGAATCCGAGACAACAAGGTGCAGGGCTGGATGAACACAGCAGGCCAAGCAGCATCATAGGAGCAGAGAGGCTGACGTTTCGGGCCTAGACCCTTCATCAGAAAAGGGGGAGGGGAAGGGAGTTTTGAAATAAATAGGGAGAGAGTGGGAGGCGGATAGAAGAGGGATAGAGGAGAGGATAGGTGGAGAGGAAACAAACAGGTCGAAGAGGCGGGGATGGGGCCAGGAAAGGTGAGTGTAGGTAGGGAGTTAGGAAGGGGATAGGTCAGTCCAGGGAGGACGGACAGGTCAAGGGGGCGGGATGAGGTTGGTCGGTAGGAGATGGAGGTGCGGCTTGAGGTGGGAGGAGGGGATAGGTGGGAGGAAGAACAGGTTAGGGAGGCAGGGACGAG